TTGATTATAGAAGTCAGAATAGTGGGTGTTTTGAGTGAAGGACTTTGGGGGACATTAGAAAAGTTCTCTATTTTGATATGGTAGGTAGTCCTATGGGTAAAATCATATATATTTCACTGAGTTACATGCTTAGGATTATACTTCATGTAAATTGCATCAAAAAATAAAAATTGTCTAATTTCTTTTTTCTTCAAGCTTAAAATAGGAAATGATACACTTCAGTGAGCAAAGCAAAAGTAAAGACAGCCATAATCTTAATTCTAGCTCTTTTAAATAAAAAGAATGAGGTGGAACACACAGGCTCATCTCTTTGGGTAACCACTCTCTTTTCTGGAAAAGAGCCACAAAGGACGACTGAAATATACAGTGAATGTTTAAACTAAAAAAATTATTATAGTAAGCTATTTTAATCCTCTTCAAAATACTCTCTCTGTTTAAAAACACTTATTCTGTTGTTCTTGCCACTTTCTGAAACCATTCTGGGAGTGCTTTTTTGTGAGAGTCTTTATGGGATGTGGTAAAAAATACTGAGTATTTGTGAAAACATTCCAGTGTGTCCACATCTACCTCATTTACACTGAGGAAGGCATAACAATGCAACTAAAGACATTCTTGAAACTGTTTCCTATAATTGTAATCAATTGATGATAACTAATACAACTGATTAAAAAATCCTCTGAAAGTATAAAATACAATTAAGAAATTATATAATAATCAGCTCAGAAATAACAATAAGAAGATACACAATCATTTAATGTTCTAGCCCAACTAGGACTAAATTATCCTCTGGAAAGTAATTTCAACACAACTATTAAGCTAATAAATATGGTTAAATGAGTACACTTAAAGAGAAGAAATGGGGATATGCTTAGGCAGACCTGTTAAAAATCTGGCAAAATAGGGGCTGGGGATTTAGCTCAGTGGTTCCGCTGCCTGCCTTGCAAACACAAGGTCCCGAGTTCGATCCCCCATACCCAAAAACCAAAACCCAAAAACCAAAAAACAAACAACAAAAAATCTGGCAAAATAATAAGTTATTCTGTGAAACAGTAGAGTCTTATGGCCTGAATGTCTGTCTTGGGGTCAGTTTGATAATTTCTACTTGAGACTCTAATCAATCAATCTCCAAATCATTTTTTATCTCTTGAAAGAAAAAAATGATAAATATATTTTGATATTAAATCCATAATAATAATCTACATGAAGGGAAGCATGGAGTACAGGATAGGCAATAAAATTTAAGATAGATAATTTATTTCAGATACTGGGGGATATATATTCAGCACAAAGTTTTTGAAGAAAACCTTTCTGACTTTTTCATAAGCAAAAATTTCTTCAACAGGATACCAAATGTATTTCCATAAAATAATAAATTGGAATTGTTAAACCTTTAAAAAGTTTTATTTAGTAAAAAACACCATCAAGAGAGTAAAAAGGTGACCTATACAGGGCTAAAAGACTGATATATCTGTAACAAAGGAATTTCAACTTGATAAAGAACTTAAAAATCACTAGGGAAAAAGACTATATAATTAAAAATAGACAAAACATGTTATAAAAGAGGATGTCCAAATGGCCAATAGTTGCTTAACTTCATCATTCATCAGAGAAATGTGTATTAATGACAATGAAGTACCTCTACAAAACTACTAGAATGGCTACAATTTATATTAAAAATATCAAGTATTGGTGAGATATGGAGCAACTGAAACTCATATTCCATTGTGAGGGTATAAACTCTTAGGGTCACTTTGGAAAATTGACAGAGTGAACTAAAACTCAACATTTACATAGTATTATCCAGTCATTTTACTCCTAGCATAAACCCAACAGAATGCATACACATGGTTACTAAAAAAAGTACAGCAGAATATTCATAGCTGTACTATTTAAAATTGTGCCAAACTGAAAGTTATTCTGATGCCCATCTGTAGTAGAATGAGTAAATTATGTATACACATTTATGTGTAAATACACATATATATGCTACACATATACATTTAAACATATATATAGACATATAATAAAACATTTTTTAAAAATTTGGTGCATACACATAATGGGATACTCAGAATAATAAGAATCTATCTATATACAAGATGGATGAATCTTGCCAATGTAATTTGGAACATAAAAGCCAGTCATAAAAGAGTACATAACTGGATGATTTTATGAAGCCCAAAAACAAATTAAACTAGTCTTTATAGTTAAATAAAAGTAAGTCTTGAATAGGCAGCAACTGGAAAGAAGTACAAGAAGACCTCTTGTTGAGCTCTTCTGTTTCTTATTGTTAGTGTTCTGTTGCTTGATCTGGGTATTGGTTACACGAATGAAAACTGAAAATTCAAGCTGTGCCTTTGATATGTGTAGATTTTTATATATTATGCCTCATTAAAACCATATATTTATTAATATGTAGTAAATGAAAAAACAAACCACAGGTAATGTGTGTAGAAAAAAAATTATAAGAATTAAGAGGAAATTTTAGAAATAAAAAATACCCTAGTGGAAATGAAGAATGTCTTTGATAGGATTAGCAATAGATTGCATATGACTAAAGAAAAAATTGTAACCTAAAAGAAATGTGAATAGAACTTTCCAAAACTGACATCCAAAGAGAAAAAAGAATGGAAAGACACAACAAGGTATTTAAGAAATGTAAGGTAATTACAATATATGCAGAATGGTGAAAAAAGTGGAAACAAAAGAGAAGAAATACCTGAAACATCATTTCAAAAATATTGAGAATTTTTCAAAACCAAAAAAAATACCACACTACAGATCCAGAAAACTCAGAGAATACCAAGTAGGATCTGTACTCAAAGTTTTACCATGAGGTATATCATATTTATACTACATAAAATCAAAGACAAAAACATCTTTAAAGAAGCAAAAAACCCCAACTACCTTACCTATAGAACAACAAGGATAATAATTAGGTCAGGCTTCTCATCAAAAATCATGTAAGCAAGGAGAAAATAGAGAGTAATATTTAAAATGTTTTAAAAAATCACCAGTGATTAATTTTATGTGTCAACTTGACTGGACTAAGTGATGCCCAGATAGGTGGTGAAACCTTATTTGTGATTTGTCTATAAGGGAGTTTCTAAGAGAGATTAGCATTTTAATTAGCAGGCTTAGTAAGCAAGGTCTATCTACACCAATGTGGGTAGGAGAAGGGAGAATTTACTTTCTCTTTTCTTAACCTGAGATATCCATTCTTCTGTCCTTAGATATCAGAGCACTTAGTTCTCAGGACTACGGACTCTGGAACTTACACCAGCACTATTCCATTCCTGGTTCCTAGGACTTTGGACTTAGAATTGCAGCCCTTGCTTTCTTGGTTTTCTAGCCTACAGACAGCAGTGAGACTTTTTGGCCACCATAATCTTTAAACTAACCCTGTAATCAGTCAGTCTGTCTATCTATCTGCCTGTCTGTCTATCTGCCTGTCTGACTGTCTATCTACCTATCTATCTTTCTTTCTTTCTTTCTATCTATCATCCATCCATCCATCCATGCATCTAACCATCCATCATCTATTTCATTGTTTCTATTTCTCTGGAGAACACTGACCAATACACCAAGATTTCTGTCCCCAGTGAAATTACCCTTCAAAAGTGCAGGAAAAATGAAGATTTTCTTAAACAAACAAATATTGTGGGAATCTGTTATCAGCAGACTTGTCCTGCAAGCAATGTTAAAGGAAATTCTTCAGAGAGAAGGAAAATGAAGAGGTCTGAAACTTGAATCTGTGGTAATAAAGAATTTATAGTAGAGAGGGAATAAATAAAAGTAAAAATGAAACTTTTTTATTCTTAATTGATAGTTGTTCAAAATAATAGCAATATTTTGTCTAGTGATTATGGACTATGGTTGAATGAATAACAACATTATAAGCTCCAGAAGGGAGGAATTAGGACTACTTTATTATATGGTACTTATATTATTTTGTAGTGGTACAGTTTTAGATGAAAATGGACTTTGGATGGATTGCTAATTTATTTATCTACAATTACTGTTCACATTGTGAGAGAGACAAATCCAAATTAAAGTAAAATATTGGACATTATTTCTTTTAATACTTTTCTGGCCTTTGTTTCTTTAAAGTGCTTTTATTTTATTTTATTTTTTTACCATTTATTCTTTCACTTACATAAGCAAAAGTTAATAAGAATGAAGCTAGGGCCAGGGATTTAGCTCAGTGGTTTTGCTGCCTGCTACGCAAGCACAAGGACCAGAGTTCGATCCCCGGTACCAACAAAACAAAACAAAAAATAAGAATGAAGCTAATTTTGATGTGACAAAGTATTACTGTCACCATTTTTCTACTTTTTGTAGTTCTAAAACATCAGAGGTGCAAATGTTTCCCTCTTCCAAGCCAGCCACATGGAAATGAGGATCTTCATCAAATTCAATGGCTAAGTAAATAATTTAAATTATTCAAATTTAAATTTTAGGTAAAAAGTTGAAAGGACAGAGTCCTTACTTTTGTCAAAACAAGTAGAAAACCATTAGACATAATATGACCTATGTGAATAAACATGGAGAGCACATTTGCATTTTTGGAAAACCCCAACTAACAATATTCTGATAGAAGGAATACGTTAAGAACAATGGTAACATACTCTGTCTAAGCAAGAAGCTTCTCTTTTTATCATGTTTGTAGGGTACAGGATCAATACATCTTTGCTGAGAAAATGAGTGAACAAATGAATTGTATCTTCCCTTGTAGGGGAGAATAACCTATAAATTAAATGATATTTTAACTTGATGTAGCAAAGCTCCAAATTTAACTCACTCCAATTCCTTCCTTGTAAAATTTTGAGCTCAATGCATATTTTGTGGGAAATGATGTGAGACAGGATGAAAACAGATTTTACTAAGTTCATGTAATGACAGCTTGATCTTTAGAACTGGCCAAACTTTCATGTAAAAAAAGATTAGCTAAATACATGTGCCTTTCTATGTTTAGTACAATGCAGAAAATAGACCTTTACCTTATGAAATCTTCTTCTTCTTCTCTCTTTGGCCTTAGCTGTTTGGGTTGAGCCATATTGATCCAGTTTGGTAATGACTTTAAGAGTCTGCTGATATCATCATCTTTTGCCCAAGATGCACTGATGACAAGTTTTTCTTCTGACTGGACAATGCCCCTAAAAACAGCCAACAGAAAAGAGACATTTTAGCATAATGCCTGGTATTCAGTTAGCATTTTTCCTCTACCTTATCTTCAGGATAAAGATGTCACCTCCATCTCCTTTAAATGGTGACATCCATGAGTAAGTCACATTACTGGGGGGGTACTATTTCTAGATTTCATTCTCAGTTTCCTAATTGTTGAGTAACCATGGAAGCCGCTAATACTAATTATTCCCTCTAACGTTACCTAATCCCTTAAGATAAATAAAAATGTATGGTAGGTTTGGGGGAGGTCTTTCAAAAAAACGTTCAATAAATTTAAAGTTGGGTAATTTTTTTTTTTTAAGTACCAGGGATCGAACTCAGGACCTTGTGGTTGGCAAGCAGGCATGGTGCCACTGAGCTAAATCCACGGCCCCAAGACAGGTAATTATTTTAAAATTCTGTTAAATGACAACATAAATGGTACCTAAAAGGTGACAGAGGTGGTACAAATGGTTGTTCTCTGACTTCTTAGTTTAAATTATCAATTAATTCTACCTGCAGGTATTTTTCGAACTATGGACATGCCTTTATTCAAAGCAAATCTACCAGCATAAAGAAATCCTCTGCTACAAATGTCAGGCAGAAAAAGCTTTTGATTATGGCTGTCTCCAGTGGGCTTTGGCTAGTCATCTAGAGCTGACAGGCTTCAAGTCCCTTAATAGGGCCCGTGGGTTCACTATTTACACTGCTCTTATCTGAATGTACCTATAAGTTCACCTTACATGTTCAATTTCAGTTTCATTAAAGATCTCTTTCTCTTCAACACTTCCATCACTTGAACTGATTTTGATGGTCTAAAAAGTCCTTATCAGCAATATAAGTGACATAAATGACATTTATTTATGAAGGGAATGCTAATTAGCTTAAGACAACCAAGGCTCTAGGAGGTTTCTGCCATTGCAGGTGCAGCCATGAGTATCTTTCGGTGTGAGGGTCACAGTGGGATGCATTAGGAATTTTCAACTAAATATATGCCACATGTATATACATGTAATAAAAACTGCTTGATCCTATAGACAGTTTAATGTTTACAGAGAAGTTGAAGCACAAAGTTGTACACACTTTGATTCAGGACAGCCCAACTGCATATAATATAGCTTCATATCATAAGAAGCAATATTGTTCTGATTCTCTTAAAATAAGCTAGAATAAATAAGAGAACTGTGGATAATTTCTAGGATTCTTCTAAGTCACTAAAAGCAAATGTTTTCTAACAGTAATTATGACCCCCAAATAAAAATTTAAGTATCAAAACTTCTTCCATTATTTCAAATTACTCTCACTGGCATCTTCCATTCCCTTCTCTCTTGTTATTTTCCTGCATCATTTCTGTAATAGGTGGATTAATCTATGTATTAATCCAATAGTGTAACTTTTACAATATCATACTTGTGTTGCTAGGTGCAATCTTTGCTAGGTGCAATGTTACAGAATAGTATAACTTCAGATGTCTGATATCTCTTTGCAGGTGGACCCTCAATATTCTTTGGGATTCTTTTTATGAGTCTCTCATCAGCTTTTTCTCCCCATTTCCCTTAGTGGTTATTTTTTAAAAAATGTTATTTCAAATGTTATTTCTTCTCATTGCTCATCCTTCATGTTCTGGCTAAGTGACAGAGAAAGGAGAGGACCTGTTACAGACTTTGAAACATTCTGCCTCCCACCTCCAACCACCCAACTCAATTCAAATCTGTTTCATCCCTACCTATTTCCAGTAATCTCCAATTATCTCCTTGTTTTCCTGAATTTTTAGTATTTCTCTTTGCAATATTTCTCTAATTCCCTGTCATTTTTTTTAAAAAGAAACAATGAATGAATAAGCAAATCATTCTCTTCCTTTTATCCAACATTGCTCTCTATCAAAACTCTTCTGGGGCCAGGGAGTTAGGTCAGTGGTACTGTGCCTGCCTCACAAGCGCAAGGTCCTGAGTTCAATCCCCGGTACCAAAAAAAAAAAAAAACCCCCCAAGAAAACAAAACAAAAAAACAAAAAAACTTGTTTATTCCCTTCAAAGAATTCCCAAAGAATTTATTCCCTTCATTCATTAAATGAGTAGCCTGAGAATCTAGTTTTCCTGATTAGTTCCGCTCACTGATATAACAGTCCCTATCATAAGTTCTGCAAAAAGATCTCTTCCTCTCAGTTTTGCAGATGTTAAAAATGCCAGTCCCTATTTGACCTCTAGATATAGTCTGATACTTCTGTAGGCCTTTCAAGCTCAACATTTGCTTGTTTCTACTACTTTGAATTCCTCTTTCATTTATAGCATCTAGTGAATTCTGTCTTCCTTTTGAGTTTGGTTACCTATCTGAAATACCTTTAAAGTTAACAAATTTTATATAATTTGCATTTGCTAGGAGTAGCAAAAGGGGTTCCTACATCTATTTATTCCACATTTTTTGACAGAAAAACCAATTGCAATAAGGGTTACACAACCAGCATTTCACTGATGTTGCTCCATCAACCCATGAATATGTTTTTATCTTCACATACTTTGAATATTATGAAGCATCCAATATTTTTGATTGGTATTTTCTTTTTTGGTATTTTCTTGACAAAATAATCATTTGTTTCCACCACTATTTCCTTCTGGTTCTTTTCCTGCCATTCTAAATCCCTAATTATAGCCAAACTGATGACTCTTCCTGTGCCCATTCTTAAATGTTGTGGCCATAGGATTTTGCATTTCTCACTTTGTCAATCTCATCTTCTTGCCAGGATCGACCCATCTGCATTGTGATGATTTCTAAATTAATATTTCCAGGGCAGCCCTCTCTTCTAAGTGTTGGACCTGCATCTCTAAAGGTTTATTCAAGAACTCTATAGTCTCATCATCATTTCAAATTAAAATTAGTCAAAAGGAATTCATTTTCTGTCTCTCTCCCAGTAGACACCTGGCCAAGCCATCCTGCGATTTGAGCCACAAAACAGTCATCCTAATTGCCTACAGCTACCACATCCAGCCAATTCTACCTCCTTAAAAATCTTACAAATTTGTCATTTCCTGTCCCAGTTCACTGCCGTTAACCTGTATTTAAATCCTCATCATCCCTCACTTGTTAGCAATAACCTTGTAACTGGGCTTCTTTTTTTTCAGGTACTGGGGATCGAACTCAGGACCTTACACTTGCCAGGCAGGTGTGGCACCACTGAGCTACATCCCCGAAGCCTAGAGCTATAAGACTATCAGTCTAACTCACCACACTACTCAGAACAGTCATGCTTGTAAACTACAAATACAATCATGTTATTGCCCTTCTTAGAACTTTTCAGTGACAAGTCTATGTAAGAACAAGACAGGACTTAGCAAGGCAAAAACATCTGCCTCTTCAGCTTCACCTCCTATTGCTTTTTCCTCTTTTGTCTCTGTTAACTACTGCAAGACAAACCTCTGTGCATGTTGAACATCCTAACCATAATGAGTTCTGCAGAGTCTTTTGAATGGGATATAGTGTTTTCTGCTTCTGCATGTTGTCACTGCCTAGAGAATCATTTTCTCATCCTCCTTGTTTGCTACTACTTATCAAGTATTATTACCTTGGCTCTTCTCTTGCTGTGGCTGAATTCTCTCTTTTGTGCCCCATCACCCTTATATCAGAGGTTTTCAACTTGGACTGCACATTAGAATCACTTTGGGAAGCTGTTAAAAAAGCACATGTCCTGGCAAGACCAAGCAAATCAGAATCTCAGGGTGGTGGTCATGGGGTAGGTAACAGAATTTTTTAATTTCCCATGTGATCCAAGAATGCAGTCAAGTAACAACCTTTGCCTTACACATAACTCTACTCTCATTGGTCTTCCTACACTGCTTTTTAAGTTGGACTCTCAAACTAGATGAGTTCTCTGAAGGTTGAATTGATCTCTTACTAGTTTTTGTGTGCCCAGTGCCTAGTATAATACCTGGTATGCATACCGTCTTCACTATTAGCAATAGGATCAGAGACAGAGAATAGGGAAAGGTAAGGGAGGGGACAGGATATGATCAGAGAATATTATATACATATATGAAAATGTCACAATGAAATCCACTATTTTCTACAATTAATATGTACTAATAAAAATGCTTCTTCAATTTTAGGTATCTAGATAACTTATTAAACAAAAACCATTTTAGTTGATTACTTTTTTTTTTTTGCACTGAATGACTCAGATGAGTTATTAAGTTCTTTGATATTGAACCAAATCACAGATCACTCTGTGCTTTTCTAAATTCAATACAAATCAAAATAATGAATAATAAATTCAAGTGTGTCCCTCTTTGAAAAATATTCAGCACAAAAAATTCCTGATTCATAAAACAAATGAACTAAGAAGTGATTGCTGACAAGTCTTCCTCTTCCTAGGTGGTCTATTACTGGAAAGCCTCAAAAGCTCATTTTCTCTATAAAGAGTTTGTTGACTATGGCATTACATACACTCCCTTTGGAAAGGAAATGAACAAACTCTATCACCTATGACTTTTATACTTATCACCTATGACTACACAATTAACACTTTGTCTTATACAATGGGGTGGGAAGACCACAGTCTGTGGATCAACTCTCTCCATGAGCTGTCTTCATATGTCCTGTAAGCCGAGTGTTGATAGGTTTAAAAGGTTTATCAAAAAAACCTTTTTTTTGGTACAGGGATCAAACTCAGGTCCTTGTGCTTGCGCGGCAGGCAGCGAAACCACTGAGCTAAATACCCAGCCCTAAAAATTTTTTAAAAATAAATTTTTGAGAATGGAGAAATTTAAATTTAAATTTAAATATCCATATCCAGAAAGAACTTTGGGTGAGTGGCTCAGTTCCTTTTAGAAGTCACATTTTAGGCTAAATTCTGCTTCGGCGCGGGGGGGGGGGGTGGTCGGTGGCGCTTCCTGCCCACCTCCCCAAGCCCGGCCCTTGGCCCCAAAGGCGCCCTGATAGCCGGAGCTGGGGAGGTTGCCTCAGCCACGCGCTAGGACAGTGGCAGGGTTTCCAACGG